TTCATTTATACCAAACGGTATGTTAGTCAACAATTAAAGAAGTGGTGGAGAAATTGTAAACAAGGTGAAGCTTCTTTGGACCAAGTGGAATTGTCACGAAAGTTCATTAAAATTAAAAAAAATCTGACTTTTATATATCAAAATTTTGGAGGGAATGAAGACACCAAAGTTTATAATAATTACAAAATAGTAAACCTTATATAAAAAAGAGTGATTAATTGGTAACTGAATCAATTAGAGCGTATCAACAATATAATTTATAGCTGAAAAGTAAAACCGCAACCCCCATTTAAATTTTCCTGCGCATAGAGTGATTTTAGGAGTCTGACGTGGCAGGGTGGTTACGCGGGATTAAATTAGAAATCCCCGCCTAACAGGAGAGAGACGGTTCCCTTGTAAGACTTTGACGAAAACTCAAACCCTTTTAAGACTTTGACGCTTCGTATGCCCGACCGGCGTTTTTCCTCGGACTGAAATTGCTCCGACGTTTCTTCAGTTCGCATAGGTCCCTCCGAAACCCAAAAACCGATCGTCGCCGTAAGCAGCAGGAACGTATCGTCGTTGACCGCCGGCCAACAATTCGTTCTTTATGTAGAGATACGACCCTTTACATCTTCACCAACATCATCTTCGCATCGAGTCATAGTTCTGTGTCGAGGCCGCGACTTAAAATTGGTCGGTTCCGCTTTGCTATCGTCCTTCCTTCATCTCGCTATGCGAATTCGTTTAATATGTCGGTGTATTGAGATCTGGAATTTTTGGATGTAGGTCTTTATCGGATTGCTTAAGGGAGGCATAGGTCTCCTCAGTTCGCATGAGTGTCTTCTGAGCCCGGGGTTTTCTTTTCATACCTGCCGTTCACCGCCGATTTGGGTGAAATCCCGTATCTGCATCTTCCCCATTCGCACAACACCAGGAGGACTAATCAATCAGTACCGTTCACCGCCGATTTGTAATTCGATTTGCAAGTTCCTATGTCCGTTTCACAGGCAGGACAGGGGAGAAAAGTCTAAAACGGGAAGCCTACCGAGAATTACCAACGAGACGAAGAAGTAGAGATATGGCTATAGCTTTGTCGAATAATATAAATTAATTCCCGGGTATGTGTTCCTTCCTGCACCAATGTTGATCATGGTTCTTTCACCTCCCTTCATTATTTGCGCAAGATTTGTCAAACCTGGTGTTGCACTTATCGAAAATGTTGGCCGCAATTGACTTGGTAATGGGGTACTATTGGCCCTAAGAGAGCAGGATCTTTCATATTTTGTTTTCTATGACTTTCCAGCGTGATGGGTTGGATTGGTTGTGAAGTTCCAGGGTTTAAGATGGGTTATAGAGAGTAAAGAATAGTAGGAACTCCTATAATGCAATAGCTATAAACGACCCAGTATTTCTCATTCACTTTTGTTTTGTTCTTCTTTTATTAGTTTGCAGGACTCTCTTCGAATTAGTAGGTTTCAGCTAGCTTCAGTGAATCACTTCCTTCTTTTCGATGGGAAGTTTAGTGGGTTTATCTCCCCTACTTATCACTGTTGCCTTAGAATTTCAATACATCTCACTTGAAGTCGGTTAAAAGAGTAATCGTTATGGCGTGTTTTGCTGCAATTGGCTTTAGATTAACCTCACGCTCTTATATACCAACTTATAGGATTCCATTTTTTTTATGCATAGATGTGGTTGGCCAATTAGTTGAACATGGAGAGGCATTCCCCAGCTCCAACACTGCACGAAAAACCATACGAAAGGAGCTGAAAATCAAGTTGCTAGAGTAAGTTACCACTCATTGATGCCTGATTCATTTTGGACTATTACTCTTCCCTGATGTGAGTTTGTATAGAATGCTGAACATAACAGTCCATGTCCAGTGGGTGCCCTTTACTTGATGCATTCGTTTCTAATGAAACAACCAGAGCTAGGGATGGTTGTAGGGAACAAAGGAAGGTGGTCTTGAAATCATTATTTGGTAATCCATGTAAGTTATCATGGTTATGAAAATGAACCCTCTAAACAACTCTTGAATACAAAAATACAGGTAATGAGATAGGTAGAAATTAGCATTCGAGCAGGATCCAAGTATTTATTCATGTTAAATTCTATGTATATATCTCAATATATACTCTTTTCCGTGCATTATAGCTTAACCCTGCCTAGGAATTTCAGATTCTGAATGTCATCTTGATGTTCGGTATGGTCTGTAGAGATTCTTAACTCTTGATTGACGGGATGCCAGCTTGATATTCGTTCTGGCCTGTAGGGATTTCTTAACTTTTGATAGACTGGATGGCAGCTTGATGTTCTTCCCAAACAGTCTTTATCCCTTGAATTTGGTTACTCATTTCCGCTGTTTGAATGACTACGTACATCACCAAGCTTAGAGTTTCAGGTTCTTACTCTTTTTGAAACTTGCAAAGATTATATCGATGATTTACGTATGTTTATCGTCAAATCCATTCGATGACTACATCGATCATAGGTTCTTGATGAGGTCGCTACTGTAAAGATGTTCACAGGTATTGCTCTAAAGCAAGTAAAAGCTGACGCATTTGTTTTCTTCAAGTAAAAGCTTTAGCACGAGTACCATACTATTATAAAGCAAGTAAAAGTTTTAGCACAAGTTAAAACTGCTGCAGCATAGGTCCCTCATGAGGTTTCTACTCTAAAGCAAGTAAGATATGCAGCATTTGTTTGTGTTTTCATCTTTAGTTTTTGCACTTCAATTAGTTGTACTTACAAGAATCTCATCCATAATTGCAGACACTCATATTAGTGGATTTTAACCCCCCCCCCAAAAAAAAGAATCTGGACTTTTTTTATTACTTTTGCTTCATAAATTTCATTTTCAATGGACACCAAGCATTGTAGCTTTGTTGATTTCAATATTAGTATATCATTTGTCGTAGTTGATGATTGGGAGCATGAAGAAGTATTTGCTGATGATGATGAGCCAGTTTGAAGTGACCGTGAGTTATCGGAAGAACTGGCCCCTACTATAGAAATCAAGGTTTTATGTGTTAAATCTCACAGTCGGAATTATAGCTGCCAAGCTGCACTCAGTTTTGTAAATATAAATATAATCTTTGAAATTGCAATCAGGCCAGATACTCTAATCCATCGTCCACAACCCTAATATGTTCAATCATGTTAGTTTTCACAAGTTTGATATGCTGGGATATGTGGCTCCGAGAAATTAGAGAGAGGTTAAGTGTTATTATCAACAGTTTGATTTGTTGGGTTATGTTTAGGACAGGAAATAAAATTCATAAAAAAATTTAATGGATCCAAACAGTTATGTATTAAATCCCACCGTTGGAATTATAGCTGCCAAGCCGCACTAACTCAGTATTGTAAAAATAAATATGATCTTTGAAATTGCAATCAGGTCAGATACTCTAATCCACCGTCTACAACTTAAAAAATGTGTGAAATACTGAAATACATTTTGGACATGTCCAATTGAATAACCTTTGCCATTGTTTTTTTCCTTGGTACCACAATTACACCTTGGGTCGATAAGTCCAAATCACTTACTAGGTCAATAGCCCCAAACGCTCAAATGGAAATCACGTTGATGACTATCCGACAACTTTGTGTCGCAGGACATTTTCAGATTTAATTACATCGATTACTCATTGGTAAACTTAAAATATTTTAAATATAATAATAAATTAATTAATGTAAAAGACAAAGCAAATATGATTATTCCGGCCAACCGGCCGGGTTATAAGCTAGTTTTTCTAATTGCATCTTCTACCTGACACTTAATATGCAATTGTAAAGAGGATTGCATTAATATAGTGGGTAGGGATGGCAATCAAACTCATGGCCACGGGTATCCGACCGTCCCCGACCCAGTCAACGCGAGGAATCCCCGCTTTGACCGGGTATGGGGCGAGTATGGGTAAAACCCGCAAAAAGTTTGATGGGTATGGGGCGGGTATGGTTTTAGCCTCCCCCGCCCCATATCCATACCCATACCCGCCCCACCAAGAGAATTTCTTCACATATAAAAAAATATGTGGATTAAATTGTAATCTATCAATGATGATGATGATAACTTGAGAAAATAAATAGTAGAAATGCAATTGAGTAACCACCTTAATCAAAACCTAATTCATTTCCCTCAATTCTCCTTCCACTCTTTCACTTTCCCCCTTGTCAACAAGATTATGTTAGTTAATTATTACTTAGTAAATGTATCAAGAGTTAGAGCATAATAATTTAAAAAATATTGTAGTCTATATTATGTATTAATGGATGTTTTAGGATCATATTCTTTGAATCGTATTTAGAAAATGACCGTGTTTTGTTGACTTCATGATATAATAAGTTTGTTTATGGTTATAATTAAAACTTTTCTTGTAAGTTTTAGGTATAATAATGTTGGATGTACGGGGATGGGTATTACCCATGGGTACCCGAAACCCACGGGTATGGGGATGGGCTTGCAAAACATTACCCCGCATGGGTATGGGGCGGGTATGGGTTTGGGTTTTTGAAGATGGGGATGAGGATGGTTTAGGCAAACCCGCCCCAAACCCGCCCCATTGCCATCCCTAATAGTGGGCAATTGCAAAGATGAAAGCCACATAGAAAAATAATAAAACAATAATTTATTTTTATCTCTCTTGATTTATTTATTTTTATTTAATATAAAGTCTTTTAAACTTTCCTATACAATTGGAAGTGAATTGCATTGATGTAGGTGTAATGAAATCAAGTTGAATTGGATTGCATAAATTTTAAGATAGCAATAAAAAAATCATATGCTATTGCATATTTACATTGATATGGATGTTGTTAGCAGCACTAGAAAATGAAAGTGGATTTACATAACAGTCCTGTGTACAAAGCTACAAATACCCACAATATGAAGATTCGTTTGAGGTTTTGAACAACATGTGAACTAATTGCGTAACAAGTTAACGGAGAGAAGAAAGAAGGAAGTAGATGGTGGATCATAAAGATTAAAGACTCGGTTTCGACAAAGATCAGTCCTTTCCTCACCAATTGAGTTCTTCCAGACGTTCCATGTGGCAATGCAGTATCGATATACTGGGAATGTGACAAATATTGGGCCAGTCCAAACCTCCACCGTGCCAACACCTATCTTCCAAATAGTGGCAATCTTCGATCTCCAGACGCTGTAAAGATTTGAGCTGGCGCATCCCCGGTGGCAGAGACCTCAGCCCATCACAATAATGTATTCTTAGCGTCTCAAGACTCGCTAGGTTGCGCAGCCACTCCTCTGGCAAACCTCCAAAATCATCCATATAGCACAACTCGAGCTCCTTCAGTTTCCACAAGGGATGGATCGGGACAGGGAGCGAAGCTGATCCTTCATAACCAGCCACGTCCACGCTTCGCAACAATGTATCAAAGCTATCGATGCCCCAACACAGAAAACCATCAAGGGATGGGAATGCAGGCATCTGCTTCATCTTGTGAGGCCCCATTATCGTCAGTGAAGACAGACAAGGGGAGCTGAAAGAGGACAGCTGATCCGCATCCTCAACACCGAGAACAGTAGTGCATGTGCTGTCCTTCCAGAACCCTTTCAGGTTTGAACAGTAGGAGATATTCAGCTTCTTAAGAGACGGATTACGATGCAGAGGCGGGAGGTGTTCACATTTCTTGCAGGATGCCAGTTTGATCTCCTCCAATCGCGGCCCAAAAAACTTGCTTGGAAAGTTCCTGCCTGGGTACCTTTCTATTGTCAGCTTCTTGAGATTGCTGTGCGGGCTGAGCCTTTCCAGCAAGGCTTCCGCAACAGCAACATTATGAGGTCCAAAGTCCCATATCAGGGTCAGTGACTTAAGATGCTTCTTTTCTGTCAATAAATGATGATGATCATCACAGTCATCCGTCTTCAGGAGATGCCCCCGGAATTTTATTGTCAGCTCTCCACCCAAACAGTTCAGCTGTCTCAACTCTTCCAACCCTGCAGCAGCAACCTCACCACCAAACTCACTCGGACTTGCCACAATGAATAGGTCCAATGTAAGAAGGGAAGTAAGCTTCCCGATCCCCTTTGGCATGTGGGTCAGTTTGTCACAGCCGTCCAAGTAAAGATGCCTCAGATTGACCAGCTTCTCTATGTCTCCAGGCAGTCGTTCAAGCCACTGACAGCTACACAGGTTGAGCACTTGAAGTTTTACAAGGGTGGTGATGGAAGCAGGAATCTCGGTCATACAGGCGGATTCGAAATCGATGTACCGCAATTGCTTCAACTCGCTGATGGAGTTTAGTACGTTGAACGCTTTTAAGGAAGAGTAATCGTTGACCCATGGATGGGTTTCCTTCAATCCCAACACTCTCACACGTTGCAGGCTGTGGAGCAACGTTTGACACAGTTCTCCATCGAGCCATCCGGTGATACTAGTGATGTAGTCGGAGTGTATGAATAGGAAAGTTCGCAGGCGGCTTGCTTCTTGTAGGTAACAGGGGGCTGATCTTCCTGGCGTTTGATGGAAGTGTTGATCATCATGGAAGGGTCGTCTATTCGAAATATCTGCATGTAACAAACTCAATGACACATGACGAGTCCGCGGAGTGACAGTAGCCTTACCGCCATCAATGTGATCCATAACAACGATACTGTCATCAGTTATCGAAGTCGCCAAATCATGCATAAGATCGTGCATTTTGCAGGTCTCTACATTGCCAAACTGATCTCTTTCCACCTCTTGGAAGAATGAACCCCACCAAAGCTTCTGAAAGTAGTTCATCCCTTCAGCTTCGTGATTCATTCCGGCCGACTCAACAAACCCCTGCGCAATCCAGAGTTGAATGAGTGTACGAACCTTGATCCGGTAGCCCTTGGGGAACAGTCGGCAGTAAGCAAAGCAAATCTTGAGATGTCGAGGGAGATGGTTGTAACTCAACCGAAGGTTTGTCAGTATGTACTTCTCGCCTTCTGGTATACTGCAGAGCTCGTTTTCCAAGAAGAATGACCACTCGGTTTCAGGATCTTTGAAGCGTAACAAGCTTCCAATTGTATTGACGGCCAAGGGAACTCCACCGCACTTATCTGCAATAGCCTTGCCAATTCCGACAACTTCCTTGCTTATTGGCTCTTGCCCCTCAAACACCATCTTCACCATCAATTCCCATGACTGGTCGACCGATATGCCGCGCAAGAAATGTGGCTTTCTAGCGGTAGCAGCTGCTGCGACTGCTCCAGACCGAGTGGTAAGTAGCACCCTGTTACCGGTACCGGGACACAAACCCAGGCACGTCTCCAGCTCCCTCCACTTCCGATTATCCTCATTCCACACATCATCCAATACAATCAGGTACTTGCGACCACGTATCGTTTTACGCAGGCGATCTTTCATCATCTCCAGCTGACCATCTTCCTGCTTCTCTATTGATTCATTGGTTACACTCTCCAGAATCTTCCTGACAAGGTTCTTGACAGAGAAATCCTGGGAGACGTACACCCACACCCTGACCTCGAAACGGGACTTAATTTGTTTATCCCCAAATACGAGTTGAGCCAGAGTTGACTTTCCCAAACCACCGATCCCGACGATGGGGAGAACATACGCATCCTCATCGTCGCTCAACAGACGGCCAACGACTTCCTCCTTATCATCGTCACGGCCGACCACAACAGAAGGCGGAGATGAGTTGGTCTCCCTATCATCATCAGTACCTTCCTCATCAAGACGACGATCTGGATCAAGCCGCAACATCTGCCTGTCAGCTGCTATATCATCTAGCCTCTTCCTAACGTCCTTGACACTATGGGCCATCGCAAGTTCGTAAAACAATCTTTTACAAAGGGAGGCGACATGGCATACCACTGTGGAGCACGAACAAGTCTCCTGCTGCTGCTGCTGCTGCTGCTGCCGCCTTGAAGCCTCCGTTGCAAAATCATCGAGCAAATCGTCCGCGTCGTACATCACCTCCGAGAGCTTCCTGAGCCAATCTTTGACCTGATGATCCTGTTTTTGTTTCTCCTCGGCGTCAAGCAAGACTGCATTGATGGTTGACATGGTCTCCAGCAGTCTGTTGAGCTCCCCCTTCAGAGCCCACCACAAGCGAATCTCCTTGAGCAATTTCTCCAAAGCTAGGCCGGTTAGCTTGCCCACGATCTCTTTCCCAATTGGGGCGAGGATTATTTCAGCCATATTTACCCCTCTTGAAAGCCTGAGTGAATCAAGCAGATATGCTGAGACAACGGGTCTGTGAACAGAACAGATCTGAGAGACTAACTAGAAAGGTACGACTTTCATTAGAAGGCTAGATAATGGGTACTGTACTGTGTAAGAGAAAATAGTATATATGAATGAGATCTGACAGTTTTCGAGGAATAGAAAAAGACTTGCGAATTTCAACTAGGCCGGCCACATTTGATAAACTCGATGAATAAGAAAGATTTTGTTCAACCAAAAAACATAAGGGGGATAAAAGAAAGACTTCAGAATTTCAATAAAAAGACTCCCAAGTAGGTCACATTGGAGGAACTAATTCACTCAACACCTGGGGAATAGGAAAGGTATTGAATGAATAGAAAATGAGAAGAAGGAAAATATACAGTGACCTATTTCTAAATCCTTACCGAATGGGAAGAAGGCATCACTTGCCAATGCAGCTCCTTTCACCTCATCTCCTGCCTTCCTCCTTGCAATTCTCAAGCTTTCCACGTGATTCGGCTGCCCACTTCCTGTGGTTCCCTTCCCTCGTCCATTCTAAGAACTTTACTTTCTCCAGAAGCTTCTTCTCATGAAATTTCAACTTCCTCATCTTGCTATTTCACCAACCAACAAGGCAACAACTGCGAAAATTCCTAACAGTGAAAAATACAGAAGACAGCAAAATCATTAAAAAGGAGCATATGCAGATACAGTCATACAGATACGATAAAAAGCACAGACAAACTTCCTCTGTCACGTCAGAACCCTGGATATGACAAGCATGTAGATCATTCTATCAAATCCGATTCAATCCATAACATCCTAACAAAAATCTAAGCCAATTTGACCCATAAAAACCAATTATAGTCCACAACGCTCGATTTCCAAGCTTTCTTAAGTTCCAGACAGACTTCAATCGGTTCATGACACCATGTGAGAGCTAATGTATAAAAAAGTAACAAAAGGAAACTGCAGGATGCTGGGAGTTCAGGCCTCAGGGGGGAGCGGATCCCCTCAGTAACCAATACCTCAGTAACCATCAGTAACCCCTTCCCCTGGCCCCCACGTGTCAGCTTTTTCTTTTTATTTAAAAAAAAAACGGAGGGGCACTAAGGTAAAATTGCACCCCTATTTAATGATGTCTCTGACGCGCTGACGCTGACCAGATCACATCTGCGCCTTCTCTCTCCTCAAACAACCTTTAATTTTCCTTCTCTTAATCTTTAACGGACGATTTCTCACTCGTTTTAAGTCGGAATTTAATTTTTTTTGCACAGTTAGATCAGATTAATTGTGCTCTTCAAAATGATATCCACTTTGATATTTTTCAGACATAAAAAAATTTGTCAGTTATTACCAGTCATTACCATATGGTAATGACTGGTATTGACCATACCATATGGTATGAAAAAATTTGGCACATCAATATATATTACGTTACCACCCAATACCATATGGTATAGTGTGTTAATATCAATATATATTTCGTTACCACCCAATACCATATGGTATAGTATGGTAATATCAACATATGGTAAATCTAACTACCATACAATGCCAACATAGTAGACATGGTTAATCGAATGAACACAAATTAATTGTAATTACCATACAATACCACATGGTATGAGAAGTTAAAACCATATAAAAATAATATAAATCTAATTACAACCCTTTTACGACCATAGTAAAACACGATATCCATAAAAATACATTTCGTTACCACACTTTACCATATGGTATACATTTTACCATATGGTATAGACACATTACCATATGGTATATACACTTTACCATATGGTATAGACACTTTACCATATGGTATATACACATTACCATATGGTATAGACACATTACCATATGGTATATACAAATTACCATATGGTATAGTGTGGTATATACACATTACCATATGGTATAGTGTGGTAATCTCAATATATATTCTCAAAGAAGGGGAAACAGAAGGAGGAAGAGGAAAAAAAACTTGTCTTCTGTCTCCTGTCATTTACTCCTCCGCAATGAAGAACACCGAATGCAAAAAGAAAGAAAAAGAGGAAGAAGATCGGAATTAATTCACAAACAAATACTAAAACACAAAAGATGCAAACTCAACTCACCTAGATCTGTCCCCTCTTTGACAATATGGAGCATCATCGATTTTGAGGCCGATAAAAGAAAAAAACAGAAGGAAGGAGCAGCTTGAGAGTAGAAGGATTTGGAGCCTCACCGAATTTGAAGTGGGAGGCTGCAATTTATTCATCGATTGTTGGAGAAAAAAATGAAGAACAAGAGAAGAAATGAGATTTAGATCTGGAAAAAGAATTTTGGAAGAGAGAAAGGAAGAAAGAGAAAAGAGAGAGGAAGAGAAAAGTCTGCTTTTTCTCTTTCCTCCATTAAAAGACAACACATATAAATGCTGGAAAAAATAAAAAAAAAGGAAAGAAATTAAATTTCAAAAATCGGACAAAAATGCCCCTCCTCACTCCACGTGCAGCCCAACAATATAATAATGCCATCCCTAGATTTACGGTCCGGATTTAATACTGATAGGTCAGTAACCATTGGTTACTGACCCTATCTGCTGCCGCCTCAGGGGAACACAAAAAGAAAAGCTGAAGATCCAGCCAAAAACAAAGAACTCATGAGTGAACAAGTAACCAAAGCAGAATCCAACTGACTCAGAACTAGGGCAACCAACAATACCTATGCTAGAAAGAATCAGTTCTCATATAAAAACAATCGACATTCAATCACTAGTAGCTATAACTCCTAACAAAACACATAAAACGTTTTATTAAAACCCAGCAATGAATCTCAACTAATCTAAAAAGGAGAATCTTTTATCATTGCAACAGCAGGAATAGGTCTCAAACTTCCTTGAGAGCTTCAAATCAGATAACAAAATTTCTCCGGCAAACCTACCCACTACACAGTGAACTTTACCATATAAGAGCAGCAGAACCAAGGAACTAGAGACGACATGACCATACTAATCACCATAGCATCACCATTTCACCAATTCACAATGTCGGTAGAGAAAGCAACACGGCAGATGAACGCTCGCCGACTATAGAACCAATGCAAGGAAAGCCAAAAATCAACCCGCATCAACGGGAAATTGGGGAATCCAGAATCCATTTACCTTGAATACACCGCGATTTCAGGCGACGGAGAGTGGTGGCGAGCGGTGGAGGAGAAGACTGAAGAGGCGAGGTCGAGGGCGAAAGAGGCGAGAGTCGGGGCTTGGCTAATGCTGATTCTCAATGCCTGGACGATTGGTTAAGGGTTTAGCAGTTTAGGGGTTTATGGGATTGAGTGCAAAAATAGTCATTCAACTTTGGGGTAGAAACAAATTGGTCATCAAAACTAGTTTTTTAACAAAATTAGGTTATTAAGAAAAATTTGTCCAACTTTCAGAGAAAAAAAAACTTACCCAAATTTAAGGAAAAATAAATACAAACACAATGTCAGTCCATCCAAATTTTGTTTCTCTTTTGAGCAAGGTGATTTTGAAGTTCCATTGTAATAACTTTCTACTTGTTGCTAGCTGTTGGACCCTTGGAGGCCAGAAGCTAAGCTAGAATGGTGCTCGAGGGTTCTTGCAATTAAGTCCATAAAACTATCGTGAGGATGGTTCAAATTTAAAAGGGTGAGGAATAGGGATAGAATGCCCATGAGTAGCAATAGAAGTCACCAAGGTGTTGGGGAAGGTCGAATTTCATTGAAGATGGCGATGTCCAGTCGGCTAGCCTTGTAAGTGTATTTTGATCTTCTCTTGTCAAGATGAAGCGAGCCCCATAAAACCTCAGATCAACTAACTCAAGTATGTTAATCCAATCGTTGAAAAATCCTATATTTTCATGTGGTCGCTCATGTGACAACGCCTGATTTCTCCTCTGGTAAGCAAATAGCGTTGGTTGAAGTCCCGAGTATGAATACAGGGGATGTCAAAGTTTTGCTTTGATTTGACCAATGAGATTGTCCGATGGACTTGGGTTGTATTTGGAAGGAGAGTCTTTCTTTGTACGAGGCTTGATATTCTTCGGTGTCTTATTTGATTTCACTTTGTTCTTGGCTTCTTGCCATAGTCAAAGGTCTAGAGTCATGGAGGTTGTCTACTGATGTGTTTTTCGATTAGAGTTGAATGATTTGCATGGAGGTTCGGTTGGGGCCGTGAGTGTATGGGTAGAGGGAGAGACGACGAAGTTATGGTTAGGGCGGGCTGACAAAGGGCCCAGATAGCCCGTGCCCTGAAGTTGGGGCTGTTGGGCCACTCGTTAAGGTAGACATAATGCTAATCGACGTTAAACTATTGAACTAATTTTAGTTATCACGAATGGAATTAAATATTTTTATTGATCAAACATGAAATTATTTTTTAGTAAATTCAGTGATCAAACTCGTAATTTGCCCTTCAAGACTCAATTTCGACAGAGATCAGTCCTTGGTCTCACATATTGAGATGAGCAAGACGTTCCAGGTCGCAATTTAGTGTCAATACACTGGGAATGTGACAAATATTGGCCAATCCAAACCTCCACCTTGCCAACATCGATCTTCCAGATAGTGGCAATCTTCGATCTCCAAAGGCTGTAGAGATGTGAGCTGGCGCATCCCCGGTGGCAGGGACGTCAGCCCTTCACATTCATATATTCTTAGCCTCTCAAGCAGCGACGGATGCAGGACATATTAGAGCACTGGGCCGCATTTCATTAGAAAACTAGATACCGCAAAAAATTATAATTTTTTTTACAATATCAATTGTACACGTCGATCTTTTAATATAGTGAAATCATCAATAAAGGAGTCTACATCCATACTAATCACATACTACTCTTTTTCAAATAAAATAGTTAACCAATCGACGAGAAATGCATCGCTCATTTTGTTGCGCAAATCATTTTTCATATGTTCCATTGTTGAAAAGGTTCTCTCCATAATAGCTGTTGAAACGGACAATGTCAACACTAGACAAATCAGTCAACTAATCAATT